TGTGTTCTCTCTCTCTCTCTCTCTCTCTCTCTCTCTCTCTCTCTCTCTCTCTCTCTCTCTCATCGCCGTAGACAAACGAAAAGATTGTTACCCGCGACGCGCGAACACTCTGAAGCGATAAATTCACTTCCGATTAATTCACAATGTTCTCTCTCACTTGCTCTTCGTTCGGCACGTCACGATCTCGAGGATAATCCTCGTGTAAAATGAATGTCCGAATTGGAAACCCTTCGTGGAATCAATATATGTCGTCTGCGTGAAAAATGCGAGGAACAGTCGCTGTAGAATCGTACGAAAACGATGGAGTCAATAAAATCTCTCGGTTGCGTTCTCGATCAAGATCTCTCCGTTCGCGAAATCACATAAAGACGTTCGCTGATGATTCTCGGCTAGAAATTTAACCATTAATTCTCATCAGGTTGATGCTATTTAGTTATCCGACTTGTACAAAGTGATATCGTCGGATCCTGATAAATTCTGCAACGCAGCGTGACTTTGCCAGCCTTGGAGCCTTATTAACAATAAAGATATTTGATAATTGGAAAATTAAAAGTAACGCCTTAAAAGGCCGAAAAATCCTAAAAAGTATAGAATAATTTTGAATATTGAATAATGTGCTTATTACCCTATCATAATATTCCAACGATATTAGAAGTCGTCTCGAGAAATATAAAAATTAAATGGGTAACTAACAATATAATTATAGGAAGATAAATAAAAAAAAGATATAATTATTGACTCAATTAGTGCCAGGTTTATACGGTTTACACTGAGAGAGAGAGAGAGAAAAAAAATTAAAAATATTTATTAGATAAATATTAATAATATATTTGTTTGTACTTTCTCTAATATATATATTTTTATATTGAGAACAAATTTCTTTCAAATGACGAAATATATATTTTCTTAAAACATATCGTTTCTTTTCATAAAAAAATGTAAGAAAGATTTTAGGAAAAATTAAAACAGAATGCAATTGTTAATTTTATTACATTTAAACAAAAAATTTAGATTTAAGTAAATAAGTTTTTAGTACCTATCGAAAAAATATTTTTTATTTCTAAGATATTTTTTTCTCAGTGTAGTTTTCAGTTGTAGTTACATGGAAATATTGATTCAAAATTTTTTC